AGTCGAGACCTGCTCTATATGAAAAGTGTCCTGAGGTAACTGCTGTGATAATTTGGTGCTAAATAAAAAAAATGTAATTGAATATGTTCACTGTATTGAACAAAGGCCAAATAATTAACTTTAAATATTCTAATTCTAAACTATGTTAATACAATACAAACAGGCCACTAGAGATGTAAATAGGCTCAATTTACTTTGAAAAATCCCCAGACTGTAGTCGCTTTGTGTCTGCATCTCTTTTTAGTTGTTTTGTGTCTCTTTCAGTGATGTTCTGCAGGTATAGCAGAACTCTCTGGTGCTGCTGTTGGTTGAAAAAGTTCAGCACTTAATTCACACTGGAGACTGTATTTTGCCATGTGGTCATTTTGTGTCTTTTTGTGGGTGTTTGATTCACATTCCAACAAGAAATAATAACAGTCACTATATACACAGGCTCCAGACATGCCTCTGACCCCGTCCCTGTTAGTGCACATGATTATACAATTGAATGCATCAATAAGTAAATCATGCACACAAATTAAATTCCCATTACATCATTCAGACTCTTCAAGAATGAAATTATAGACATGTTGAATTTGTATTTATCTTAAACTACCTGGATCAGATGCTTCTCCAACGGGGGAAAAGCAACACAAAACTATTTTAATCCCATGACAACCTTTTAGATGTGGATGTTGATGTACTGGTCTTTTTGCCATACAGAACTAAATAATAAAATCTCATCACACAACTTCCTGATAGCTGAGCACATTTTGCTGCCAGCACCTGTTTACCTCAATGTATGAAAGGTTGTTAGTTTCAGTTTGAGGTCAAACAGGTGCGTTTAGGAGTGCAATTCACCTGCGAATCCTTCCAAACTAATTCATCCTGATTCATCGAGAGTGGAAGAACCCATCAGGTGTGACTGAATAAGGGACGAACAGATGGATGTGATGAAGAGAGGAGGCAAAGGGCGACACGGCTCATCAATGAGTGATTGGGAAATTACGAGGCTTCGTAATGGCAACGTTACAAAAGACTGCACAAGATAATGGATAAATATAGAATATACAGATAATGTGGGTATATTTGGCTGTAAAGAGGACAGAATACAACACCAAAACAGGTACAAACACTCTCACTTTCACTTTGTGCCCTTTTCTCTTTCTTGATTTATCAACAACTCCACTGGAGGGAGAGAGGGCAGATGTCTCGTCCACTTTAGGTTAATTACCTTCACACCTCCAGTCCAACAGGAAACACCGTCAGAGGAGAAACATGGGAAGTCAGTGACAGAGAGGAGATGAGGAAGTAATGCAGGAGTGAGCAGAAAGGGACGGGGTTAACAGGCTTGCCCATTTTTAAAGATACTTGTAATTAGACTCACAGTGAGCAACAGCCTACCTTGTGAATTTAGGTGCATGCGTGTGCGTGTGTGTGTGTGTGTGTGTGTGTTTCCACATGGTTTTCACCCTCCACTGCTGGCATTTCCACAGATCATTAAACACTGTGGCTGTGCTGCTGTCTTTGTGGTCACCCGCAGTTGTCATTTTCATAACTAATTACACAGACCAAATACCAGAGGTGGAAAGTAACAAAGTGCATTTTATTGCAGAAATGACTGACGTCTATTACCCCCACATTTGACTGACAAATGACCTGGCAACAGACAAACAAACAAACAAATCAACTACTGTGTGTAGATTCTGAACCCATTTGCGACTTTAGTATGATGAGGAACAATGCTGTAACATTTATTATTAAAGTTGTTGTTCTCCAGCTCTCCGGAGATGTCTGTCCACTCATCAAACATGATTTAAATTACAGTCTGTGACAGATTACCCAAAATGCAAGTGGTGAAGTAGACCCCTCAGAGGAGAACATTCATTTTTACTTCATTCTATCTCTCGGCTGCAAACTGTTCACCAGAATGTGGAGATTTTATTCAGCTGTTTTACTTTATTGCATTAAGATGTAAAATACCAGTGTGTAGGATTTAGTGGCACCTAATGGTGTAGTTGCAGATCACAACTCCCTCGCTTCCCTATCTACAGCCAGTGTTAGAAACATGCCGGTTCAATATGGTGCACTCCAGGGAAGGCGACCCGCAACATCTGTGGATAAAAACAGCTAATTCTTAGGTAACGAAAACACAACAATTCTTATATTCGGGTGATTATGCACAAATGAAATCATATATGGATATTGTGTTCCACAAGCCTCCTAAAATGTTACACTTTGGACCTTTAACATTCAGTTCTGCTTGCATTATCAGTGTCAGGTGGTGGTGGAAAATGTACAGTACAGTTTGGGTTTGCGGAGCAGGAGGGAGATTAGATGAGAGATCCAGGGAGCAGAGATGTCTGCTCAGTCTAAACAGAACATAAAACAAACTTTATGTTTCCATAATCTGTCAGTTAAACTACACAAGCATCGTGGTGAAGTTCTGGTCTAGCTCTTTGTCCGTTTGAATATCTCCCCTCTGTCCCTCCCTCCTCCTTGTCCTCTCTGTTCCTCCGTCCACCTCTGCTTCTCCCTTATCACATAACATTGTTTGTTAAAGGGCGGATATTGTAGTATACATCCCAGTGGAACCTTTTCTCCTGTAATATTTATAACGATATTACAGCAGCAGCAATGTGCATGACAGACAGAAGACAAATGCTTTATTGAACCATGAAAACTCTGGAAAGTGAGATGAGAGTTGTAGCCAGAGGAGGAATAAAATGCTGAGATATGGCCATAGAGGTGAAGAATACATAGGTTTATAATGGTGTTCAATCTAATTCTCCTCCTCGCATCTTGTCTGCCCCTCGGAAATGACAACACTTGGCCTCATAACTTGTTTCTGATGTTTATTGTCGATCACATAAAAGTTAGAGGGGTAAATCCCTGTATAACTCTATACTGCCACGGCTCACACAGGACAAAGTCTGTAGACATACCACTCAGGTTTGACTTGGTTTATCTGCCTCAGAAAGATAATCCAGCAAGTCAAATCTGTTGGCAGCTGACTCTTAAATGCCCATCACAGCCACAAGAGTCCTCTCTGTCAAGGATGTGTTTGTCCTACTGAAAATATAGGGCCAGCCCAAGACGATTTGGGACCTCAGCAGCATTTTTCTTTTTCTTTATGTGTTTATTAAACAAGGACCTTGCACAAAAGATTTATTTATCTATACTTAGATAAAGTATAGATCCTTTAGCTAAACCTAAACTAACCTTAAGTCTATGTTTCCATTTATAGGGTGTTACTAAAATAGCAGTGCTCTGCTCACATGGTGTGAATGCAGAATTATACTGGAGCAGAATCACAATGTGTATCAACAAAATCAACAGAGGAACCCAAACAGTTAATTTTTGCAGTTTAATTTGGGGATGCGCTGTTTGTTTTGCAGCCACATACCTTTTGGCCAGTTCTGTTGTAATGTGCAATGAGATGTTCATACTGTGAGCATAATGATGCTGCTGTAGAACATTACATAACAGTCTGTCATACAGACCACCGATCCTTACAGGATAACTGAGACCTTAAAGGCTTTGTGCTCAGGATACTTACCGTTAAGGAGACAAAAAGATCCAAATCATTAATACCTAATGAGAAGCACCAGTCCATTCATCCACTGTATCATCCTGCCAGGGGCCACGAGCTGTGCTTTATTTAGCTCCTAATGAAGGATCTTCCTGTTGACACCTTTCTCACAGTGTGAGTCGAGGAAAAGCCTTTTCATACATGCACAGAGTGGCTCTTCATTACCTGGAGAGCCATTAGGAGCATTTACAATAACAGCCTCATAACGAGCCATTTTTCAATCGATGCAGCAGATGAAAATGTCATCAGCAGGAGCGGGGTTAGTGTATAAGCGATGATCAAGATGTGAGGCAAAAATGTTCTAAAAAGAAAAGTTCAAAGTCACATTTATCTAGCGAGATGTTTGCCTCATCACAACTTTGGCAGGAGAACCTTCAGCAGTGGCCAAAAGCTGTGTTTTATTATGAATGAGTGGTGGTTTTAATTGACACAGGGCCGAGCAGCTTTGATGTACGAGGCGTTGCGGTGGCAGAGAGAGACGGGCTCCTCATTACCGCTCTCTCTCTTCTCCCCCCCCCCACCTCGCCACATCCCCCCTCGTTCAGAGCGACGGAGGCTGCGGGGAGAGCTCGTCAGCCATGTGAGGGGAGCAGCAGAGAGGAGAAGCGTGGGCAGAGAGCAGGGCTGAAGACGTCACCAAATCAAACGCCCCAGTCATCTTTCCAGGCCGGGGGAAATCCCTCCGAAAAATAACACCAGACGACTGATATCTATACAGATGAAACGGATCTTCATTAGATTTGGGAATCAGCACTCATACATTAGGAAGTAACGTAGCATTCAGAGGTGTTCAAGGTCAATAAGCCGCTCATTGACAGAATTTTAAGAAAGATTCAGAAAGATTTAATGGTATACAAGTTTACGGATCTGTATATCATATTATATCATATAGAAATAAAAATACAATCTGTCAAAGATCCAGATCGTGTTCAGAAATTTGGGTTTTAGGACTCAATAGTAGAAAGAATTGGCTTGATAAGGTGGAGATTTTTGCGGTTGCAACACAAACTTTTATACAGTGATGTAACTGACACCTGACTGACACAATTGATCCTGAAGTCCCGCCCCTTTTTGTTCTGTGCTCCAATAACTGTTGAAGAACCTCAGTCACCGTTCTCCTTTCCTGTACTTAGATGTGCTACGTGCTAGGCTAATCTATGTTGAAATAACAACCACATTTTGAAGATGGTTTAAAGATATAAAATCTAGATCTAATAACTAGCTAGCTAATCACTATCCCTCTTCCCAAAACAAGTAACGTCCATCAATCTACCATCTTGCAATCATTTTAACAGTGAGTGATTTGCCCTTATGTTCTGCAGAGACAGAAAGTGTTGTATTTAATACTGTACATTGTCAGGCTGTCGCTGCCCGTACTGTGAGCTGAAGAGATAAACGTGTGATGAATGTTGTCTTCTTCCTGCCTCAGGCTGTCCGACGGCGTGGGATGACATTCGTTGCTGGTATCGTGCTGAGGTGGGACAGGTGGTCAACGTCTCGTGTGCCAATGTGTCCCAGCTGTTTGCTAATAACCAAGGTAAATCACCTCAACTCACCGTTCTCCAGTCTTCGTGTACCAGATATATTTTTTTCTTAAAGGTTGGTTGGTGTTATCCCAAAGTTTGCGCTGTGAATCACTGAATAAGTTGGTAAATGTATTAGTTTTGCTATCTTATATTGCGTTATTTATGTACTTTTTTGTACTTCTTTACTTCTTTACTTATATTTTGCAAGGTTATTTTTTCCTTTGAGGAATTTACATTGAAATTATTTTTTGCTGTCCACATTTGCACTTTTTGATTTTATTTTTGGGACAGGAGAAATGCTTACATCAGCCCTTTTGGAGGCAATGGAAATAAACTGGGATCAATCCCGCCAACGGTTATAACCGATGCTCTTTAAATCCTCCTGCTTGTGCCTGTGCAGTAATTCTCCTTCAGTGGTGTCAGTCAGTACTCCGTCTGAAGGCCAGGTTGACTTTTGCTTGGAGAACAGGCTTTGTGAAGAGGAAAGAGTGTGATTTCTCACAGTATAATGAACTTTTGCTTAGTTCATCCATCTTTCAGTTTAAAGCTCAGCACAGTGACCAGGTTATATTTAGAAATCTCTTAGGGCCAGTGTTGTGCTTTCACTGAGTGGTCTATAGGAGACTGGACGTTTTTCTTCATGGATCACACGGACTCGTCTCCTGTGTCTGAACTTGGCTGCTGAGAGCGCTGCTCTCCTGACTGTTTACATGACCCCCACCTTCTCCAGAGCCTTGTCTCATCCAGCTGGCTGGTCTAAAGAAAACAAAACATGCATAGAATCTCTCATGCATCATCAAATGTCTGACAGACGGATACAGATGCAACTGAGATGCTAATAAAATCTATTTATGGACATTTGGGCAGACGGACGATGACAGAAAAATCTGTTTGTGTTTGTCACAAACAGACTGAAGAGGAGTGGAAGAAGAGGCTATAAAAACGTAAAGAGTCTCATTCGTAGAACAAAAAAATGTAATCTATATGATTGTACAGACAAAAACTCCATTTAGGGGAAGATATAAAACATTTAATTTAAACACTCATTGAGTGATGGGGTCAGTATGGGATCAAGGAGGGATAAAAAATACTTTAGGAAACTGAGTGAGGCTTTGTGGTCTGGTAATCTTAGAAGCTCGCATCTGAGAAGGAATGAGTCTGTATACATTTAATCCTAAAGAGTTTAGCAAGTTCTAGGTAGGTGGGTTGGTAGGTAGGTCCACCACTTTGATCCACACTGAAATATCTCACCAACTATTGGATGATTAAATCTACCTCAATCAGTCTGCACATGGTATTTTATTTTGAAAATTGTCTGGATTCCCTGTGGCATTTCTGTGAATGAAAAACCGTTTGATGGTGTGTAAAACTGACTTCTGACAATCACTAAATACTTGCTGACTCACAATGTCTCCTAGAAATGATGTTTTTATATACAACTAATTTGAAACAGCAAATTCATTTTGAAGGATACTTAACGCAGACTGGATTACAAAAGATGTTACGCTTTGCACACCATCCATCCACCCCAACCACCTCCATGTGACTCTGATGTGGTTCATAAAGCGCTTTATTCAACATCATTCCCTCTGAACCCAATCTAGGAAGTGATTATGTTTGGTAGCACATAGTGATATATATAAAATAATTTAGTTCGATATAAACCTAATTTCTTGGACACCGGGGGGTTAAATATTGAAGCCAGTACCGGTCAGGCTCCGGCATCTATAGACTGCACTCTTACCCTGTGTTGCAACACTGCGGGTGATGTCCAGACTCCTCCAGTGTGTCAGTCAGTGTTGCTGAATTGCTTTTCACAGTAGACTCGGCAGCAGCAGGGAGCATGTACAGTATGTGGGATGCTCAGTGCAGAAATGATGCACTTGACTGATTTCCAACAGCAGTGAGAATAAAAGCACAAAGCCGAGGAAAAAAACACACACCGTGAAAGTTAAGCGTATACTTTGTGTCGAGGGATCAGGAGGCGGAGGTTGCTGCTGATGACCTCATAACTTAGTGTTAGTGGGTTCCTGGACCCCGCTGGATTTCCTCCTCCACAGACACCGAGCGCTGTAGCTGTAGCGGATAGATCCAGCCTGTCCAACGGGAGACTGCATGCAGAGAAAATAATGAATTGGAAAATCAAGGAGTTCACTGTAAGAGCCAGGAGCATGAGGAAGGAATTGGCACTGCTTGTTAAGCATGGCTGTGTGAGCACCGGTGCCCTCCCCGGGGCCTCGGCCTTCAACCTCCAGTCACATCCAACCATTCAGCCACCGACGCTGCAGGCCTGCGGGCTCTGCTCAGCACGTTACACTGAGGCTAATGCAGCTGGATATCGGCAAAACCACCCACGACTCAAAACCCACACGCTCTCCTCGGCTGTGCTGAGGAGCCGGACAGGCATATTCACACCATGAAATCTGTTATTTCACTGCAAACTTTTTATCCTCCCTCTTGTAAACACAGATTCACGCAGAAAAGCTAATGACCTTGTGTGCGTCATGAACGTCGTAGAGCTCGGCGAGTGAGCCGTCATTCTAACTTCAGGCCATGGTGGGAGAACACGGCTGCAAATTTGCCTCGTTTAAATTCATCATTTACAGCCTTCACCTGACAGGACTGTTAGTGTTACCTTTTAGGACAGTTAAAAAGTAATCTCATACTTAAAGTTTGCTTTTGGATTTACAGGCAGATATAACCTGTAAATGACTCATTGATTCAGCATTGAGTTAAGTTGTGTGAAGGAACATTCATCCAAATTTAGCCCTACACAATTTAAGTATTACTGCACTTAAAGTGCATTGCAACCAGTCAGCCTCCCAACATGTTTGAGAAAAGGTTGCTCTGTACTGTGGCTGTTCCCAGCTCAGAGGTAGCAGCACTAAGGAAGAGCTGCAAACGCTTTGGCAAAGAGCATCTGGGAGATAACAGCTCGTACGCCTGTGGAGCGAAGCCGATCATATACAGTATTATCACGGGAAAATAGTGGATTCGAAGAAAGTAGTAAAGCCTACCTCTTGCTTGGTTGGATTCGCTGTTTGGGCCAATTGTGACACTGATGAGCACTGGGACTCCGCGCCCTGTGTTGTAGTGTAGTCAGTAAAAAATAGTGTAACTTATCCGCATGTCTAAAAACCACCAGAAAAGAGAAGTGCACACCAGGCTCGCCATACCGTAGGAAAGCAATGGTTTTGCAGGTGACAGGTCTCTAGCATCTATGTGTCTCTGTGTGAACTACTAGCTAACTAACCAGATTTTGACAAAGAAAAGTGTATTTTGGGGGCTTGAGTGTGAGTATGTGGCTCCATAGGAACTTTATAGAGCCTGGTGGACTGTTCAATTCAATAAACCAACAATTCTCAAGCATTCAGCGACAGGAACTTGCTGCACAAACACCAAAACAGCAGTTTTATTATTACTTTATTTTTCATACAATAACGTGAAGCTTTTTTTAAACACTGCTTGCCACAGGAGGACTTTCTTTACTCTAAGCTACAGTGTTGCAGCAGATATACCAACAACAACAACAGGGAGAAAATCTTTAGACTGGGTCAGGTTGGAGTTTCTCCGGCTGAAAGTCACTTTATTTTAGATATCTTTTATCTTGTGTTTTTGCTGTCTTGTAAAGCACTGTTGAGTAGATTGACATCATCTATATTAATCACGCACACATATGTATATATACTTATGTATATATTCACACAGTCAAAGTGGTGATACATTTTGGGACTGTGCACAAATCTTCACACGAGTGGAGGAAGACATTTATGTTGCGCTGAGTCTCACTGTTATGCAAATTCTAAAAGTATCATATTAGCTTAATTTGCCCAACCAGAAGAACTAAAACTAAAAAAGTAATCTCTCGAAAAGACTGTTGCTAAATCCTAACCAGCTCCTCGCGTCTGTCTGGTGAATGGAGACTGTGGTAGTAGTAGTAGGCTTGTTGATTTGTAGTGTGCATGTGTGCATCCCCAGCCACTCATCCTAATTAAAAGCAGTGGCGTTGTTTCACTTCTGAGAACATCTGTGCTCGCGGTTATAAACGCGTCTGCAGAGACAGAGGAGGTGGGGAAGTGAGTGTCTTTATTCTTATTATTCATCAGTGTCCCAGTAAAACTAATAGACTTCACAGGAAAGCTGCATAATCATGCTAGGGCCTGATGAATCAACAAATGGCAACAAATTGAACATTAATCAGCCATCACACTGTATTTGCATGTTGTATGTGATGCTGTAGAACAAACACTGAGTCTGTACTGTTGTTGACACTGAATGTGTGCAGGTAGGTTTCACTTCATGGTTTAATCTCAAAGGGTTAGTTCACCCAAACTGCAGTAATATATACAGTACTATCCTTCACACAGTGTTGCTTTACAGTTAATACATGACCAAAGGTATGTGAACATCTCATTCCAAAACTATATTCATTAATCTGCTGCTAACAGCCTCCACTCTTTTAATTTCAGTCTCTCCAGCAGATGTTGAACCTGGCTGCAGGGATTTGCCAAGCATTTGGCTTCCACTTGATTATTGAATTGATTTCAAGGATTTCCTCATTACATTTGAAGCACTCCGATGTGTGGCTGAGGCATATGAGCCAGATTTTGTGCCCATACTGTTGACTTCAATCACCTCTGGAACAGCTCTTCTGTTGAAATCTGTCGTCTTGCAACCTCAGTCACTTCTTTTTAATCACCAAACACTTTTCTTAACTTGCCTCTATTAACTGTTTCCTGTCACTTTTGAGTTGTCCGTTGTATCTTTTATGTGATTTTAATATTGATAAAGGGCCTTCCCCAAACTCTTAACAGAAAGTTGAAAGCATTAAAATATCACTGTTTGCTGTAGAGTTCAAATTTCTGTTCATTGGGACTAAGGGGGGGATAGTAACCAGGAAAGAAGGACAGGGGCGTCCACATACTTTTGCCCATGTAGTAAAATCTTTGTTTGTGGTGCTGATAGTTTTCCAAATGTATTTTTGTTCCATTTTTAAATTGACATCCACTTAAATTTCCTGTCTTTCTTGGCATGAATCTCAGATACGAATACCTCAGAAAAAGAAATAACGTGAAACTACAAATTATTTAATAAATCTCTGACTATTCCCACAAATCCAAATACCTGTTTTAGTCGTGTGTCAGTTATTTAACTCTTCCACTTCCTTCATTGGGTCTGTAGATTTCTCAGCTTCCCCTGGTGCCTTCCTCTTGGCGTCTCTTTCACCGTTGCCACTGAGAGCTTTATGTGTGTTTTTCAGGTTACATCTACAGGAACTGCACCGAGGACGGATGGTCCGAGCTCTACCCTTCCTACGAGGAGGCCTGCGTGTTCACAGAGTACGAAGTGTCAGAACCAGAGGTTAATGCTTTTCCTTGGTAGTCTTCTTGTTCGGCCTCAGTTATTCTGCAAGGAAGCTGCACCACCTCTGAGGAGGGGTGGATCTAGAGAAATGTCCGTGGGGTGGCAGAAAAATAAGCTTATTTAAAGGCAAACAATCACATCCATTCAAATCAGTCACGAGACATGTGCACTTCCTCCATTTGAACCAGTTTACACAAGTTAAAGCAAAATGTTCTTATCTAATTGACACTTGGTTAGATAAAGTGTGAATGGTGTGAGTGAGCAGTTAGTAGTTCATGTGTAAATGCTAACATTTCTTTCTCTTTCTCTGTCTTTCAGACAACGTACTTCTCCAACTTCAAGCAGGTGTACACCGCCGGCTACGCTACCTCCCTCATCTCTCTCATATCGGCTATTTTTGTCTTCACTGTGTTCAGGTAACTGTGTTTCTGAGACGCTCCTCCCAGGAACAACCACAGCTTCCGAAATTGTACGTTTACGTTCCAAGTGTCAGCGCCCTCCTGTGGCCGTAGTAATTAGTCCCCATATGAAGGAAGTCGAGGGTCGACAAAATGTCACACTTTAATGTGAAGAAATGTTGTTTTTCTTACCACAAGTCACCACTGTTTTTCCTAACTTAACCTTAACCACATATTTGTTATTGTAGCCATGACAACAAAGGTCCACTAACCTTAACAAAGTAGTTATTTGAACCAAAAACCATAAATGTTCCCTAAACCTACCTAAACCTTAACCATAGAGTTGTCGCATCAAAAAAAGTGGTGATCTGAAAATGTTTGTATTTCTGTTCGAGAGGGCATGTACAAATAATGGATTTTGTCATTTCCTTTTGAGCTACAAAATGCAGATATAAGATATACAATCACTCAGGGAAGCTCTTCTGTGCTCTACAGGAAGTTTCACTGCACCAGGAACTACATCCACATCAACCTGTTCTTCTCTTTCATCCTGAGAGCGAGCGCTGTCTTCATTAAAGATGGCGTTCTTTTTTCTGATGAAAACCTGGACCACTGCTTCATGTCGACTGTGAGTATGAAAACCATACAGCTCCATTTCTGTGTCTATATTTAAACCTGGCCAATTCTAGTGCATGAATGCTACACAGGGCGTGTCTTACCATTAAAACCAATGGGAGTCATAATAACGTGACTCCCGGCTAATCCAAAAACGCGAGTGGAGCTGAGGCTGGCTGAATGAAGACATGAATTAAAATAGCGCCCTCCTGTCACATAACTATATTAGCTATAAAGACGGAAACTTTTTTCTGTACCAGGCTGTAAACATGTTTATTTCTGCTGTAAAGTTGAGCATTTGTTGTGGGAAATGGATGGCATCAAATTTTATCTTTTCTTTTTTAAATTGTCTGCCTGACAATGTTAGACGGAGTGCAATGCCAAGTGAGCTATGATAGACCTAAGAACCAACAACTAAATGGCTTCCAGTTGTTTGAATTTTGTTTCGTGAACATGAACCACAAACTCAGAAGAGCTTATCACAGTAGAGAGCGGGAAGGAGTGGGATTGAATTGCTGGGAGTGACTGAGCGGAGCCTGTGAGAGCATTAATGACAAGTGTTTCTCTTCCTGTTATCTGCTGATGAGGCTGCCTGGGGTGCAGGTAAGTGTCCCTCTTGTGTGGATAGAAGGGACTAGCATCAGCACATCACCGTGACTCATCCGGGTGAAAAGGGCCACAGGAGAGAAAAGATGATGATGATGAGAAAACGCTCTTGTGCTCGATCTGAACCAAAAGCAGTTTTTTTTTTTTTAGACAAACATAAAAATGTAACAGGAAAAAGGAAAAACGAATAATGGTAAATGGATGAGGGGATGGTGATGGAAAAGGGTTCAGAATTAAAGTACAGTCATCAAATAACTTGGAAAATCAATAATCAATTACATTGTACATTATACCTGCCCAACACCAAATGGCAGAAATGTTAAGTTATCTGGTGAAGAACGTGGAATATTTAGCAGCTTTAGCACCCCTTAAGCTTCTTCAGGGGTTGGTGGAGAACAAAAAATGTCAAGATGAATGCTGAAGTTCCGCCTGTCAGCTATATTTGCAAAATGTCAACGTTAAATTGTCAATTGTCAATAATATGTCTGTGGTGGCAAAAAAAGTGTAGCAGTAATCTAAAAAAAAGAAAATGGGACAAAACAAGACAGACCACAGGTTTGAGATATTTCTATTGTGTTTATAACCCCAGCCAAACTCATTTTGCTCGCATTAGTCTACATTTGCCAAACACACTGTTTAGTTCTTATCCTTTTTGTAGAAGTGAAATATGGTTTGAAAAATATGAACATTTTAACGTAGCTCTCACTAGTTCTGCTCTGCAAAAATATCTGCGCCTTTAATGTCTTCTGCATGGATCATCAACTGGCGAGGATGCTGACTTCTACATCATGTGACTATTTAAGACCCTTTTACAGGTTTTTTTTTTCCCAAAAGTGAATCAGCTGGAAACACTGCAAAGTCAGCAAGCAATGGCTGATAAAAACTGCTAGCAACAGTCCTCATTTCATACAAGGGCAGGTGGTGTCCTGTGTGCAAATACAGCACATATGGCCTGGATTTGTAGAGACGCCACCAAAAAGGCGAAATATATGATTGGCCAGCTACTTACAGCTGTTAAAAGCTGCCAGTCTCAGCCTTGAGCTTGACAAACTCCACAGTTGTTTGGCTGTAAACTGCTTATGTAACTTTCTGGAAACAGGCGAGGCAGCAGTAACTAAAGGGGGGCAGGGCTTAACCGTAATTGCAGTATAATTATAACCCTCACAGCTTCAATTGTGTCTGACCAAGCGGAGAATTTTCGCCTCAGTATATACGACCTGCAATAACCTTTATCATTACAGACGCACCCTGTGACCCATAAATAGGTGGGAGAGGCCATTACCATTACGACCACTCCAGACAAATGACATCCACAGACTAATCTAAAGCTTGTTGCTCTTGTTGTTTTCGTCCCACAGACATCTTGTAAATCAGCCGTGGCCTTCTTCCAGTTCAGCATCCTGGCCAACTACTTCTGGCTGCTGGTGGAGGGCATGTACCTGCAGACGCTGCTTGCACTCACCTTTGTCTTCCAGAAGAAATACTTCTGGTGGTACATACTCATCGGCTGGGGTGGGTGCCCCGCTGATATCGATCCCTCCCTTTCCCCTGTCTCTGTTTACCTTCATTTTCGTCCTTCCTCCCTCTTACTGTCTCTTGTTAGAGCTCAACTTTGACTCGACTAATGATCAGGTCACTCTGTCTGTGCCTCCCAGGTCTCCCAACAACGATCATAACGGCGTGGATCCTCACTCGCAACTTCTATGATAACAAGGGGTGAGCTGCTGCAGTAGAATATCAGAGAAAACTTCACATAACAATGAGGAAACTTTGATAGAGAGTCAATTGGCATTTTTTTTACAAACTAATTGTGTGTGCTGCACAGAGGTTTTGTACCAGTAAAATCTAAGAAAAATAAAAACCCTATTATTAAATATCTTGCTAAATTTAAAAAGTTGTAATTTGTAGGCTATATATTAGTTAATATCCCCTTTTATAGGAATTAAAGAAATCATTTTGGGAAATCTGCTCTCATGAATGTACAGTAAATATGAAGCTACAGCCAGGAGCCAGTTAGTTTAGCCTTGCAAAGAGTACGGTGGCCTTGAAGTGCAAATCGCAACGGGAAAACATGACAACAAATTGGAAATCACAAAACAGAAAACAAAACTACAAAGCAGAAAACACAAAGTTTATGTTGTCACATAAGTCTATTTACCAAAATGAAATTAAAACTTCATACTCGAGTAAATGAAAATGTGTTCATATAATAATAAAAAGTATATACTCACTGAACTACTGTACCTCTTGGAGGTTGAACGATTTTACTAATAGCCATGTGTCACATAAAGAGATAATCACTATTTTATGTAAGTGAGTCAGATTAATTAATTAGCTCATTAGCTGTTTATGGTTAATACATCATGGTGATCGCAGAATGCTCAGGAGGGATGAAAGATGAATAAGAGTTAATGTTGGATTAGAATTTGTTTCTACTGTTTCTCTCACGACGTTCTGTGACATGTACAATATTGTCCTTCTGTGACTGCCATGTTTATCTCATTACTGTCTGCTGTGCGTCTCAGGTGCTGGGATGACACAGATGTGGCTTTCATCTGGTGGATCATAAAAGCTCCAATAACTGCATCACTACTGGTGAGTACAGAGCAGTCGGGAGCTATTGACGAATTATAAGAGTCTTCAATCTTGGATGAGGCTTGTGTTTTGACTCGGCACCAGCTACTGTGGACCTGGAGTTCACATTAGATGCAACAATAACAAGTCAAGGAAAGTTGATTCATTTCCTACTTGGAAGCAGGAAAACTGGTCCAGATGGTCGGCAAGCTTGTTTTCTTTGGCAGTAAACGCCGGCAGCTAATCAGTGCACTTCCTCGTTTCCTGGCCGGTGTGATTTAGTTTAAGTGAGAGATAGAAACTTTCTGCTTCCTTAAACCTTTGATTTTTATTTTCATTTAGGCCTATCTTTTTTTATTTAATTTCCTCTCCAATGTAGAGTGTCTAATTATCTTGTATTGCAGTCCTCTGTCAGTCTGGGGAAAGACTCCTTCAATATGAAGCGACAGCCAATATGTTATAATATGTTATGTAACTGATGTAAAGTAAGTCCAAAGCAGCTGGACCTGCTGTGTTTAGATTCACAAGCCAGTCTGCAAATGCTTCACTCAATTGAGACTGAAGACTTTCTCTCAACTTTTTTTGCTAAAACTGGGTGGGAACAATTAGAGAGTTTAATTTAAACAAAAACCTGCATTGCAGAACCAAAGTTCTTAGGGCTGTGACATGTGGATGCCTTGTGCTTCTTAACACTGCCGTAATATGTAACATTGCTAGGGACGTCCAACTACTAACGTTACTTCAAGCAACTACTTTGCATTTAGATATCCCCAGACGACTGGTAGGCACTGAGATCCCTGGTATCGCGAGACTAATTGTGTTAGTCTCAATTCATCTAAGCAGCTCCATTAGTTCCATTGATTGGAAGAGGAGCCCAGGAATTGATCAGCAGAGCTAATGAAGCCTGGATGTCCCACATGATGTCAAATGATTTATAGGTGTAGGTGAAACGTGAGGTATCTCAGATCCCAGGTAATTTTGGTTTTTGAGCCAGAGGTTAATTCCCCTTTTCTCCCCAATGGCAGATTCCCTTATACTGCGGTCACTGTAGGTTTGTTGTAGCACAAATCTTATTCCAGATCTTTCACATTTTTCTTGTCATTTGTTTTAATCTAGGTGAATTTCATCATCTTCATCAATGTGATCCGTATTCTGGTCCAGAAGCTGAGATCTCCAGGCGTTGGTGGCAATGACACCAGCCACTTCAAGTGAGGAGAGAATAAATATCCCCTCCACAAACACATAGATACACAAACAGATGACCTTCAGCCACATGCAGTCTTCATGGGTCTGTTTTTACTGTGTGTGTGTGTGTGTGTGTGTGTGTGTGTGTGTGTGTGTGTGTGTGCAGGAGGCTGGCCAAGTCCACCCTGCTCCTCATCCCTCTGTTTGGGATGCACTACATGGTGTTTGCCTTCCTGCCAGAAAACACCGGAGCAGAGGCTCGAATCTTCATCGAGCTCGGTCTGGGATCATTTCAGGTAAAACACACAACACAGATACAAATGAATGTGAGGACATTAAGATAAAGCAGCTCTTATAATCTGAAACACTTTAAATGTAGAAAATTCACATTTTTCATGGAAAATATAGAGGCCCACTGTCAGATGGAGGTTGCTCAGAATGTAGTTTTTATTCAATATTAATATTTAACTTTAAAGTTTTGGTTCATATTTTTCTGCTCTGAAGGGATTTGTTGTGGCCCTGCTCTACTGTTTCCTGAATGGCGAGGTAAGTAAATACTATACTACTAATTAGAATAAAATCAATATTACTGTGTGCAACAACACATTATGTAATAACTCGACAAAATTTAATAAATTGTGACTTCATTATGTAGTAACACCTGCATTTTCTGCTGCAATCTGCTGCATTTTGTAATAAGATTTTATTGACTTTATTGATTCCACACTGGGGAAATTTGCTCGTTACAGCAGCTCCAGATACGACACAATAGAGAGGACAAATAAAAATACATTAAATAAAAATAGAATTTTACTAAAGTACAAAATTTAATATAAATAGAAGAAAAGTTATATATTGATACACACATGTGATTGATAAGGAACACAGGAGGCAGTAGTGTTTAGTGTAATTTAAAGGTAATATATATATAAACATAAGGATATGAATATATAGTAAATAAATTTCCCAGAGTTTTATAATAAATTATTAGATTTTGTGGTGGTTATATGTGTGATAATTTGGTTCATTATGTAATAATGAACCAAAGTGTACACCCTTATATCTTTAACAATTAACCTAAATTAAACTTCCCAAATATTAAATGAAACCCCTCGATGACCTGAGGTGCCCCCCAGATCTCAATGTTCCCTGATCTGCCACAGAAAAGCAGTTACAGGATCAGCTTATTATCATCTTCAAGATGCAGCCAAACTCAGGGAACTTCATGTCAAATCCTGATCTGGAAAAAGTCCATCAAGCTTTTATTTCTAGCAGTGTTGACCTCTGCAATGCTCTTTTGACAGTGCACCACAATATGTTATCATTTATTACAAAATGTGGGAAAATTCTTTACATTTTGGGTTCAGGCTGCTTATTAGATTAGATTAGATTGTTACAAAATGATATGAAAATGTATTTAATTTTGTCTTGTTATTACATAATGTGTTGTTATACAGTGCAATATAAATAGTGTTGGTCACTGTACTCGTCTGGAAGTTTGAGTGGGAGGTTTTCCTGAAGCTAAAACTAAAAATAATGGCCATTGAGGCCATTATTTTTAGTTTTGGTGAACATTTGACATCGGGAAGTGGTTGTCGCAGCACTCGAAGTCACGAAGTCTTTCATAACTGACCCATGATCGACAATCTATTTGGGTAAAAATATCTTTATTTAAAGCTGCAGTAGGTAACTTTTGTTCTTAAGTTGTCATATTTGCTAAACCTTTCACTAAATTTTGACTGAGAATATGAGACGGATAATATGTAAAAAAAAAAAATCAGGCTCCTCTGGCTCCTCCTTGTGCTCCTAATGGAGCCTAGAAATATAGTTAATTATTGAGTCTCATTCCCACGGCATCAAATACAGATGCTTTGGGACCCTGGGAATGAGACTCAGTCTTCAAGCCTCCAACTCAGAGCGTCTATATCTGTCTTGGCTCTGATTGGTCGTTTTTGTTCAGGCTTGGTGGTTTCTTGCAGATGCCGTTAGGAGCACCAGGAGGAGCCTGCGGATTTTTTTTTACACATTATCTGTCTCTAGTGAAAATTTCAGCAAATAAGACAAAAAGTTATTTTTATAAAAGTTACCTACTGCAGCTTTAATGGACTGACATCTGCAAATCTACTAATATGGTTCTTTTGTAGCTGTGTAAGGAAAAAAACCAGTACAGACCAAAAATACACCTCAATCTGGCGCCTGGAGCATTTGTTTTACATGTCGTAATGTTTTACTTCTGTGTTTTTCCACACGCGGATGCTGGTGTGTGTGCTCAGGTGCAAGCAGAACTGAAGAAGAGGTTTTGGAAGTGGCAGACTCAGAGTTACCTGAGCTACAGCAAACGGCGGCGTACGTTGTTCACGGAGAGCAGCACGGTCACGCAGATATCCGTCCTGGACAAATCCAGCCCCAAAGATCAGCCGACCTCAGAGGCACACACCCTCACACCCAACAACGTCTCCACTGTCTGAGTCACATTCTCCCTGCGTCACGACACCCGCTTTGTATTTGGACGTCGTCCTGAGCAAGTGACTAAACCGCAGAGCCCGATTGTTGAATGTTTAAGGTACCTTGAAACTGTGTACGAATTATCTGCAGAATCCCACATGTGCTGACAACTTTACAGGTGTTAACTTTAACTTTTTTTATTGACATATTTCACATGATATTCATTATTTTTCAACTTACTTTAGTATTGGCCGGCAGAGAGGTCACATATTTTGTTGCCTTTTGTGTTTATCATAGGTCCGATTTTGCTTCGGGGGCCCTCCTCCACAGCTTACTCACAACCACCAAATAATTTCTCCCATTTTACAAAAGCACCAATATCACAACAAGTACACGATGAATGTGGCTTCAAAACATTGTCCTTTCGTTCCTTTTAGATATAAAAGGTTTATTCTGTCGCACCTCCCCCGAGTCCAAATCCTTCTCACATTTTTTCTCATGCTAAGCTGTTCATACGGGAAAATGAGCATTTACAAAATAGATTTTCCTTTGTTGTGGTCTCAAGTGGCCCAAAGATGAACAACAATCAGGAGGAGTAGGCACAGGAGAGGTTAGTCAGTTACTTCTTGCAGCTGTGAGGTTAATTAATGGAGTCTTTTTTTAAATGTTTACTGAGTTTAAACATAAAACAGCACAACACACAATATCCCCAAATCCCAGACAGCCATACATAACCCAAAAAGGGAAAAATAATTTAACTGAATAAACAACAATAATTGCAACGATTACAGAAAAGGGGGATAAAAAAGATGTTAATTAATTATATGGAATTAAGTAAAGTATTGTGTCCAGTCCACTATTTACATGTGAGTTTTAGGGTAACCAGTCATCAGAAGCCCTATCTTAGGCCCTAGGTCCGAAGATAAAGTCTTCATATTCAATAATCTAACACTATAAATTACAATCAATAAAAAAGGCCAACTCTATTTCTTCCTTTGTTCCTTTATAACAATGTAATAAAAGTTCAAATATTATATTCCTCCTTATACTGGGGACCCCTGTTGGTCTCCAGTTTGAATATCACTGCAGTAGAGGGTCTAGAGGAGAGAAGACTTGATGGATCTTAGATGAATGGGCTGTGTGGCCTCACAGTGACAGATAAATGTATCAATCCACACACATTTCAGAAGATGTTTTATGGCAGTGAGTTTGCTGGTTTTTTTCCACTAATGCCTGGCATATACTTTAGTCCCTGAAAGGACATGCTGTTCACACGACTCCCTCACAATATTCAGATCACCACTTATGCACTTAATGCTCCCTGAACCTGCAGATCTGTATTTGATTGTTCAGTCTTTTACCTCATCAATTAGTGCCATTCTCCAGAATTTGGACCTCTGTCTTATTCTTGCTGTCATAATGTAACCTACCATCAGTGGCTCTGCATGCAACATGTTGCACAGTGCACTAGCGCACATCTGGAGCACTAGACTGTAAAAGCTATTTATTTGTCAACGTATTCTTTTTATGTTGTTTTTTGTGTGAATGTAAATAGAATTGAACTAGAGTTTACATGTATTTTATGACAACAGTACAGTTCCTCCAACAGATTTATAAACCATATTAAAGCAACTTGTTACTGTAAAAAAAAAAGAAGAAGAATCTAAAATAATATATAAAAAGGAAGTTGGTATTTATATTTAACACATTTTTTGGTATCATACATGTAAGTTTTATTCTTATATGCTGTCATATTGCAAAATGTGGAGATAATTATACTTTACATTTTCCTATTTGTAAGCATAGGTTTAGTGATTGCTGTGCTAATGCTAATGCTAATCCAGAACCTGTTTCCTCTGAGAAATAATTGTGAGACTACATGAGCTGTTTTCAAGTTGGCTCGCAGTATGTGTGTATCTATGCTTTGAATTTTTCTCTTTTGACTTGCAGCTAGCAGGTTGAGTACACTGTCTATGTATGTGTAGATATGTACAGTATTATTCATGGAAGGAAATATTACATTACTCAGCTACTGACCACTACAGTGCCTTTCTCATAAAGTAAAACTCCCTTTTCCTCCACAGTTCACCTACAGTACGGTCCCAATCTGTGTAAGAAAATCATATATGTAAGATTATGAAAGTATACCATGTACTTGAGTCTTTGCTGTGCAGCGTAACAGATGTGCTTCTGTGTTGTGTCAGATTCAAGACGTGATAGGAATTGTGCTCAAATGACAAAAACAAAGCCTTCATCCGATTTGAAATTGTGCAGCGAGGAAGTGAAGGATGATATTAACAGAGCGTGTTTTGATGTGGTGTTTTTGAAAGAAAGCTTTTCATGTTGTGTCTGGACTTTTTTTTAGATTACATCCACTTACAGTGTTATTTCTCCTTTCTCACTTGAAAGATGATGTTTTCTTTTACAGGTTCCGGTTTACTACATGAATGCAACTTTCTCATTTTGGTGTTTTCTTATTTGAGCCAGGGGTGAACATTACAGGATAAGGACGGTGATTGTCTGTATTTTTCTTATTGTCAACATTGCATGAAAAGACCAAAACCAACAGTGTGTTATTCAGTTTCACAAAATTTGCTCTGGTTCAGTTAAAGATTCTTGAAGCCCGAGTTTCCACCAGCCTTGAGTGGAACCATTGTAATCAAGGATCGACAGACAACAACCTGTAGAATATGACACGCCCACTTTGGCTAATAAGGAATATATTTTATGATAATATAACCAGTTATTTTTTGGTTCCAGCTGGAAACCAACTTTTATTTTTGGTCAGAACAGTTCAAAACTATGTGCACAACCCCGAACAAAGCTGGTTTCCTGTTGGTGGAAAAGGCCTATCACTCCCCTACCTTGTCTGTGGCCCGTTGGTTTCTACTGAAGATTTACATATAATTATATATCTAACAAATTTTCTGTTATCTGTTAAAACAGCTTGACAAGTGGGAATAAATTGTGCATTTGTTTGAAACTATTTTCAGTGGTGGAATAATACACATTTTAATATTTCTTTCTCTAAAAACTATGAGCGACACTGTTGCACTGGGTGACATGTTCCTTCATTACCATGAACACACACACACACACACACACTGTAGTTTATGTTGACTGCTCCGAATACTCACTAGAGCACCAAATGTGGATTAATCCGCTGCTGAAAATAGACCTCAACAAATTTACTTTTTCCTCCTCTTTGAGTTTTGTAAACACTGCAGTGAGTGTTTAAGGAAAAGAGAGCCACAAACAGCGTAGGTGAGGAAGTACTGAGAGATGGACTGAACACATTGTTGGTTTTGGTCTTTTCGTAGGATTTGTTTTTAATAAAACACATAGAATAACAACAGCATTTTCCTTTAAAGGGACTGTCCACCAACATTTTTTTCCTCTTACCTGTTGGGCTGTTTATCCATCTACATTGTTTTGGTGCGAGGTGCTGAGTTTTGGAGACATCGGCCTTTTCCAGTTTAATGGAACCAGACGGAACTACATGCGTAGATGGCGCTCTCTTCTGCACATGGAAAGAAAATAGTTCCTACATAAAACTGCTCACAACAAGAGTAGTACCAGTAACCTGGTAATGATTATAGTTGAGTTTTTCAAATGTATTTTTGGCTGTTTTGAGCATGACAAGCTGAGTACCATCTGGTTCCATTATATTGGAGAAAAGGCAGACATCTTTTCGCCAAATCTCCAAAACCCAGCAACTCACATCAAATAATCTAAATGGGTTTAAAGCACTACAGGTAAGAAGAAAAAGAGGCTTTAGAGTCCCTTTAAGCCAGAATACTTTTAAATATTTACCACACACAACAACATTGAGCCAACAAGTTAAAAACATTTATTGTCGATACTTCCATAATGTACAAAAAAACCCTTCTAATGTGCACACCGAAACGAGATAAAATGGTGCACTGTGCAGTGAAAGAGATCAAATGAAAACAAGAGGAGCTCATGAGCAGACAGAAGCAGGCTCACAGAAGAGTGCTTTAAGTTACTTTTACATTCAGCCATCAGTATGCAAACTGCTAAGCCCCATTTAACATTTATTTATTTTTTTACCTCTAACTGATTAAAACAGGCAATCAATACAGTGAAGCAATTCAATAAAGATAACCACCATCAAAAAGCTAAAAAGAAAAACATTTGAAACCAAAGTTCTTGTCATGCTTTGCTGTAAAAATCAATAAGAACAAAAAGAGTCCAGCAGTTTTTGTGGCACTTTACTTTTCCTCATGTCGGCAAAAGATTAACATTCAAAGGAAAAGTATTCGATGGGACTAGAGCTTCAGTTCGATGAATCGTTCACAGCTGAAACCCAATATCCACATTCCAGCTTATTAATTGCCTCATCCCACTCGTTCTGTTCGAAAACGAGGACGCGGCTCGGATTCCCTTAATGGCCCGAAAGCTCGACCCTCCCTTGTGATTACATCTGCTGGTCAAATGAGATCAAAACGATTTTACACGCATGCATCAGCCTATTAGAGAGTACAGAGGCATTACAGGAGGCTTTACACTTTGAGAAAACACGATCACCATTTAAAAAATACAAATGAAAATAAGAAAACAATCACAGCGCAAAGTTTTTAATTGACAGCTATTCACTTTGAACCACATTTACAAGGTACGACGTTGGCAGCTTGTTTCTGTCTCGCACATTTAAACTGCGGTTTATTTAGTCACAAAGGTTGGCTACAGACCTTTCAAACACTTCAACTAACTACTTCATAGTTCAAAACAACAGGTTCAAATCAATATTTATTCTTATAATAATAGCAACATCTTTGTCTGACATCAACATAGTACTGGCAATATAAGGCTCCAACTCCCATATTAACACTAAAGGAAATCATTTATAAATACATTAAAAAAATCAGGCTCGTGGTCCTGGTGAGATTGTGATAATGCTTGTGATGAGCTCGCCTGAACGTTCAACTGAACCAGAGCAGAGGAGGTGGTGATTGTCCAGCCCTTTCCCCAAACATCACAAGATGAAACAGGGCCCCCTTATGGCTGCTGTTGGATCTGCACTGTTATTATTTCAGGTCGCACTGAATACAGACACAGCAGAGCAACAGGACAGTACAGTTTCCGGTCAGCCCTTCCTTTCTCTCTTTGCCTTTGCCTGGTCTGGACTCCCAGAAAGAATGGATTCGGTCATTTGCAGGTGAAGAGATGTAAAGATATTTAGAGTAAAAGTGGACAAAAGTATTGTTAAAAAGTGAAGGTTTGTACTAAGACTGATGGACAGAGTTACTGTATATGTGATCTAGACGTTTTAACCTATATTTATCACTGTAGCTACCATAAATATAGTCAGTAAATTACTGCTGATAAATAGAGCATGTAGACAAAATACTACTTCAGCACAAGATCCGCATAAAGATGAGATAGGAAAAAGGGATTAACGTGGGCAAAAAGTTGTTAAAGTTGTCAGAAAAATTTATATTTGAACATCTACAAGTCCATGATAACATGCTCTTTGGATAAAGATCATGTTCGAAAGCTCCTTTTTTGGTCAACTGCTGTTTCCAAAGTCAATAACAAGCTTTCAGTCTCAATTAACATCTAAAAATGTTGTTTTTTCTACCAAATTTAGGTGTTTTAGGAACTTAGGGCTGTCATGGACGTCTTTTATTTTTATTTTAATATTTGAAATTTGACAATTAGGCTGTTAGGCTGTTACTGCTAAATATATATATATATCTTCTGGCTGTGGGGAGAAGACTTTAAAATTGCATTTAAACTATTATGTAGTTAGATAAAATTTACAGAAAATAGAAAAGCTAGATGAATAATGTAAAAATGTAAATTTTACAGCCTTTTTTAGGTAGATTTTTGTAGAGAGGTGGGTTATGCTGGGGTAATTTTGACTCATGGTACCTCAGTTTTTGAGAATAAATAACACTATTAAAAGTTGTATGCTTTTACTTTAATCTCCTGGCAAACATAGCAAAGGTTTTTATTTGTTTATTAATACTTGATTTTGTTCTTCTATTTTTCTTTAAATAATAATAATTTAACTACATTTTGTCAGCTTCAGGACTCCGTACTTGACGTCTTTTTACCTGCAAATTACCAAAATTATGTGTATTGTGTATGTATTATTTTTTCTAATTATCAGACATAAATAATGTGTATTCAGAAAAGAATATCTGTCAATTCCCTCATTTGTTGTTGATTTTCCAGTTAAAGTTTGTCTTTAAGACACTTTCAGACATTTGCATTCTGACCAAATTACTTAGAAATTCAGTCCAGTCATATTAAATTAAATCTCCTGGACAAATTTAGAAGAAAACGGTATCATATTTTAGAGAATATTATAAAGAAAAGTCATTACATTATTAAAGTCTTGTGGTTCAGATTCAGGAGATATTTTATGGCCCTGTATTTTTCTGCTGTAGAGAAAAATAAAAGATGTGTCAGTAAAATATAAAAACTAAAACATATTTATTCTTCTGTGTGTGTGGTTTAGTGTACTGTACATTGAGTTACTGTAGCGCTGCTTGATTCTGTCGTATGTTCTGCTCATCTTCAGCAAGGACGAGTTAAAGTAGTTTGAAGGCCTCCAGGTTTAAAATACTGATTTAGTCTTAAGCATCATAAAAGCACTTTGTTCAACCCTTTTCTTTACTTTGCAGTTTCGTTTTTGAAATTAAAAGACAAATCCCTTTTTTTTTCCTTTTAAATCATCAACAGAAGTCAAAATACTTGTTTTGTGCTTAAAGGCACTTTTGGAGACACAAAGTAGAGTCGAACGTTGGGATTCCGAGGATAGTTGAGTCAGACCAAAGGAAAAATCTGCAGTGACATCAGTTGCAAAGCTAACTCAGCCTTTGCAAACAGATACGGCCGTGCAAAAAAAACTCAGAGAGGAGTCGAATAATTCGTCTTTGGAATGAGAGAATTACTACCCCACCCCCCCGAGTTAAAAGCCCCTCTCCGAAAGTAACATCCATCTCAGTGTGCTTGTGTTCACACATAAAGAGATCAAATGCCACCAGAGACAATAACTGCAAAAAGACAGAGATACTGCGAGGTGGTACGAGGGAAGGGGGGAAAAAGCCCTCATTCATCAAATTTTTCCAGAAACAAATGAGGAATTTCTATCCACAAACAGTGAAGTGCTGTGATGTGTCCGTTGGTCTACACCGAAGAGGCTCGGCTTTAAAAAGAGACAAAAGAATCAGGATTACAGAGCATCGCCTCCACAACAGCCGCAAAGTTCATGAAGGAAAAGAAACTGTTAAGAAATGTAACATCCGATTAAACACTGAATTCTCACAAATAAAAGAACACATGGATAATTAATGCAATTTCATGCAAGCAGTTGAACTCGTGATGCTTTTCGTCGTGAGTTCATTTTCATTGACATTTTCTGTACTAACGGCTGTTGAAAACTCTACAGACGCGCTGATGAGGCGTCTGGGTTCCGGTGCTGAGGTTTAAAAGAGAGGTTTGTGTTTGTGGTCGTAGTCGTAGTAACCTCAGCACTCATCCGAAGAAGACCCTCGGAGTCATCATTTAACCCTGGTGTGTTTTTTTTTCCTCTGGTTTTTTTTTTTTTTTTGGCATTTCACATAACCGTAGAAAACATGTCCTTCTCATAAATACTGCTTTTTCCACCTGTCAGATCCAGATGAAATTTCTCTTTAACATTCCTCAGTCTTCAACACCAATTATATTGTTTTACATCAGTTCAAACAGGAAACAAAAGATTGTGCCAGTAGCAGTGGGAAATAACACTGAGCTGCTGTAGCCGCCTGTGCGTCTTCAGCACTGAATGGGTTTAACAAGTCTACTGAGATTAGCCACTGGGGTCTGTAATGTTTCAGCTGACCAATCAATAACACTGATTTGATGCTGACATTTTAAATCTTCAACATATTTAACAAAACTACACTTTTAAGGTAATTACTGTACATCAGGGTGGGTCGGAATCGAAGCAGCAGAGGTCGACATATCGGGAATTTTACTCTAAAACACTAGATACTACATTTCCCATGATGCAACAGACTGTATCTTTTAATAGATCCTCCTCACCTGGTAAACACCTGCATCTTTCATTATACCCTCAGTTTGTAACGCAGGTTTTCTGTCATCGTCTAGAGCCAAACAAGACAATTTAACTGTTTTCACAGGCTGATAAAATCAGTGGTCCGCCCCTTTAAGGTATTTACATTTCCCAGTGTTGACTATATTAAATGAAACCATCTGAAATGGCACAGCAGCTATGGTGTCTGTATTTAAAGAGGAATAAGGTGTGTAGTTACAGTCTGAAATACATTTCGAGGGTGAAAGTTGAGGACAACGGTAAAAACGTCCTCAGACAGACTGGAATGATCACCGTAGAGCTCTCTGGTCCCCCTGTGCTGTACAGCAGCAAACACTGTAGCACCAGACAACTCTAAACACTAATACGATATGTACAGAGAGATAACCATGCTTCTTCTGCATGTTACAGCCCAACAAGACACTAGATACACACTAGAATCATAATCATGCCCTTTGAAGATGATAGGCTGCTCAGGGAGCAGGAGTTTGTTTTTCACTCCAGCTGAACCAGGTCAGAGGTCGGGTCATGAAGAGACTCATTATTTGGCTCCTGACGTTGGGGTCAGGTTCAGGGGTGAAGCAGATCAGACCAGAGGCTGCTCTAGGTCGCTGGAGTTGAGTTGGGTTTCCATCATGGTTTCGTCCGAGTATGGGTTGGGGTACGGGTTGAGGAACGGGTTGGTGAGGCTGGTCATCGGGACGAGGGTGGGCGTGGCAGGTTTGGCAGCGTCAGGTCCGGAGGCAGCGTCGTTGCCGGACGTGGCGTCCCCGCCGGTGCCGCTCAGGTTGCCGGCGTCTCGGCCTGCAGGCTGGACATGCGGATCTGCGAGCTGCTCTTGCTGAGGATGGACAGCTGCGTGCCCCCGTTCACCCCACTGCTCGCCAGCGAAGGATGCCGGTGCTTCAGGTCCACAGCAAAGTACCTGTTCACCGTCCAGCTGCGCCATTTCCTCTTGATCTCCGATTGCACCTTGAGGGATATACTTCACAAGGTCATTATTAATGGACCTCGCTGGAAAGAGACAAGCTCACTGTCCCTCAGTCTCACTCTAGCTCTCTCTGGACTGTATTTAAGGCTCATTTTTTAAGACTTTTACTGATTTTCACTGAAAAATACTGTTTTCTTAAAAGAAAAGGGTTGGCTTAAACTAATTTTCTGCTGGATGTTATGCTCCCTCACACTAAAAATCTTTTGTAGTTCCTGTTACAAGAAGCTGAGCTAAGAAAATAGTCCATATAATAGAAAGTGAAGAAATTAAAAAAGGGTGAGAAAATGTACATGAGCTGCTAATTATGTACCAAACTGCTAAGAACAGTTACACTACAAGTTGTTTGTACAAAACAAATGTTTATAATATAGATTTTTCTTCCTGATTTTCAATATTATTTTTAATAATCACCAGCCTAGCCTAATCTACCACAATTCAAGTTATCTGCATTTCAAACCTCATATTTTCCTTATGGATAAGCTGCTTGTTAGCTATGTTGTATGTTTAATTAAATTGTGCATTCAGAAAACTGCTATATTAGTGTCAGTTACTGTTTTAAAGGAGGTTTACCTCTCCATTCAGGAAGCAGTAGAGGACGGCCACCACAAAGCCCTGAAGAGACACAGAGAGTCCAAACATGAGACAGAAACACAGACACATCTACTGTAGAAACATCAGCATGCTGAAACAAATGCTCATACATCAACTCTCAAAATAATATACGCACTGTATGAATAATCTACAGGAAAAACCTATAATCAGCAGTTTTACTGGGCTTTTACTTTCAGTATTGGATCAGTCTACTACAATCAAATTGTAATTTTTGTGACTTTAGTCCAAATCTCAATGCTCTTGATATTACATTTCTATTTAACTGGAAGTTCACAGTTAAACAAGCCTTTTTAACTTATCATTTCCCAAATATATTTTATATTTAATATCCCTTTTTTGGTTCAAGTCCCCAATTATTTGTGTCAAAGTCAGTCTTTCAAGTGTTTGAATGCTGGATATTAGAATTATATTAGAACTGTCAAAATTCATTTGTTAATGTTTGTTGGTGAATTTGAAACATTTGACTAACACAGCTGCATTTTCTTTACTTCCTGCAGCAGCTGACCGAACCATCCTGGCTAAACATGAGTAAGGACATAGACAGAGATTTAGATTCAAAATTTTACTTTAAAAAGTTGCAGAAAACTGAAATAAGCTGCACAAGTTGCAAAGCTGATTTTAATTACCACAGAAGCAAACACCCTACCCAGACTACCTCTACAGGGCCACAGATCCACAGTTTATACATAGATTGTCCTTTTTTAAATCCAGACCGTGAAGGAGAGAGAGTCACCTGGAAGGATCCGAGGCCGAGTTCAAACACCAGGCGCTCTCTCTTACTGACGTTCTCAGGGGAGAAGGCAAACACAGTGTAGTGGATCCCAAACAGAGGGATCAGTAGCAGAGTGGAGCGGGCCAACCTCCTGCAAACACACACACACACACACACACACACTCATATTATGATGAGAGGACTACAGCATGTGTGTCCTCATTATTACCAGCATCACCAACCACTGTAAATGAAATGTATCGATATTTTCTTACAACATCTCATGAAATAATTTGCAGCTAATGAAATATTTTATTGATAAAATATAAGATTAAAGTAAAATGACTTACAGGTAAATACTGGATTCATTTCCACCGATATCTGGGGACTGTAACTTCTGGACGAGGATGATGATGATGCCAATGAAGAGCACAAAGTTGATCTGTGGAAAAAAAATGTAAATTCAGGAGTGGATGTAAGGAATTACTCATGTTACTGTGATTAATTCATTTCTTTGGGTACATTTCCTCAGCTCGGATTGGTTGTTATCACTCAGGCAGCTTTAATTTGCACATTCAATTTTAAGGAAATGTAATTTAAGCACTGATGTTGTTGTATTATGATGTACTGTATATTGTATGTGCAGGAAACATTGTTGTATTTGTGTTGTTTTTCATCTGGGATAATAAAACTGAGCTGATAACAGATGATAACGTACCATAATTGAAGCCAGCACAGGTCCCTTTATCACCCACCAGATGGCAGCGTTGTCATTCATGTCCCAACACCTGAGAGATAAAACAGCACATTCAGTGCCGGATCATACAAGCCTCAACAGGAGACTCAACTCTGCTGCTCATAAACCTACCCGATATCATCAAAGTGTAACTTCAGCACCGCCCAGATGGTCACACACACTGTGGGCGCTCCTGTCATCAAACAGGATACAAACATTAAACCACTGTCGGGATTATAACCACCTGATCAGATGAGAAGTGCCTGTGATGTCTCTCACCCCAGCCAATGATGATGTACCAGTAGAAGTATCTCTTTTCAGGGAAGAAGGTCTCCACCAGTAAAGTGAAGAGGTACAGACCCTCGATGAAGAGCCAGAAGTAGTTAGAAAGGACGCAGTAATGGAAGAATATCATCACTGCTCGACACTCCAGCTTCAAGGAGAGAGAAGACAACAATGTGAGAGGAGAAAGCAAGAACATTCAAATGAAGCTGAGTAGAACTCATCTGCTGCCTGTTAACATGTGCGCAGGGATTTTGTGTTACACACCGTGTGTATGAAGCAGTGCTCGCTGTCCTCTTTGGCGTACAGCACGCCGTCTTTGATGAAGACTGAAATAGCTCTCAATATGAACGACACAAACAGGTTCATGTGGATGAAGTTCCTGGTGCAGTGCAGCTTCCTGGGAGGAAAAACATACACGAACATGCTGAACATCATATCATCTTTAAGCACGGGGCAAAAATCTAGTTGTTTGATGTCAACTTCCTCTTCATATACAATTAAAATAAAAACAATTCTATTTGAAAATATGTATTTCATGTGATGTAAAATAATGGCAAAGGTCAATGGTACAAATGTGTGCAAAGGGTTGATAAGAGAACATGTTTGCTGGTGACAATAATTTGATAACTGTAAACTATATATACAAAAAAAAGGTTAAAAAGTGTTAAAACTCATAAAACAGCACTAAAGCCAACCATCAATTGTAACATATCGACACATTCAAGTTAAAAAGACGTTATGGTAACACTAACACATCTAAATCATTTACTGGTTCTTCACATTTGCCCAAAAGCACTTAACCCAGGCTCCAGGAGTAGTATCTCCCAGTTCAGTATTAACTTGAGGGACCTGAAGAAGAAACCAATCCTGAGAGCTTGTCTGATGACAGGAGTTCCTCTCAGGTGTAGCTGATTTGCTCATCTAGAGGTAGAAGCACTAAAGAGAGGGCCGGAGCAGCAGCAGTTGTGACTGGAGTCAGAGTGAAGTAGACTTCAGTTGGTTTTGTTGTGTTCTCATTTTCTAATGGGTCCGGCTTCTGTGGCTTTATGTTTGTTAGGTTTAGTTCCTTTAAAGTTGCTTTAGGGTAGAGGGAAAAGCCCGGTTCCTACAACCCCTAGTCTGAGTGGCTTCTCTTCTTTTTATATTTTTTATTTTGGCCGGCCTGTCAGACTTCTAGTTGTTCTGAGTAGTTTTGATATTAATGTCTTTTTTGTTGTTTTTTTAACCATAATAAGCCATTCTGTGGCAGGGTTGTGATGTAATTTGAGGGCTTGTTCAAACTTATTAAAAATGTGGTTCTGTGGCTTAGTGGCAGTGGGCCTGTGTTAACCGGGATGTTTTTGGTCATTTGTTTGTGGCCAACTTGTGCTGTGTTACATGTTGTGCTTTGGGTAACTTTGTGGATGCAGTTTTTTTTGTCTTATGGTGTTTATGCATTTGGTGGGAGGGTGGTAATGTGACTTATTATTTATAAAAATGTTATTCATAATTCATCTGGTAAGGGATGTCCTCATCTTAAAAACATTTGCTTGTAACCCTGTATAAAATCTGGATTTGAAACCTCAGTGAAGAGATCTCAATAGGAAGAACATCCATTCCTTCACATCTGTCTAATAAACCTCATGTTTCCCAACACCGCCCCACCCAGCTGCAGTACCCTCCATTAACCACCAAACGTCTCACCTGAACCTGCACAGGATGACCATGGCCATGGTGAGGGAGACCAGAGAGGTGCTGTAGCCCACAGTGTACAGTGCCTTCACTGACACAAAGTACATGTCCTGAGATGGAAACAAAAGAGAAACTGAACAAACAGCAGAGTTTCCCATATAATATGTCTCAGTGAATCCTTGAATCTGACACAGACACAGTCGTATACGAACCGAACGGCTGCCGTTTCCCTCCTCGTAGGGGCAGGCGTCGATGTAATGAGGGAAGGTCTCTGACCAGCCAAACTCGGTGCAGTTCCGACTCAACTTCCCCAGCTCTGTAGACACAAGACGCGTTATTTCTTTATGGCAAACAGACTTATTTCTAGAGTGAAATCAGGAAGAGGATCAGACTGACTGTAATTATTTCAGTGAGAGTTGAAGTTACTGTACACAACTGTACATTTTTACATATTTACACTAAAATCAACCAATGATATCACCAATACAGTGAGAAGCCCTTAATTTGAAGTGTGTAGAGAATGGATTTCTGATTCTGTATTCTGTTATACTTGTCACGGACTGCCTAATAAAAGCATAGTTATACATATTATATTCCATATTTAAGATCCTCCTAAATGTCACACAAGGGACTTTTAATTCCAGCACAGTAAATCTGCAGTTCACTGAAATGGCATCCCTCAATCTCCACACTGTAACAAGACCACGTGTAAACAGGGAATCTCAAAAAGTCCAATAAAATACAGAATCTGCTGTTAATTGTGTATAAGAAGTCCTTTGCCACTAACCGTAGTCTTCTTCGCTCATGAACTGAGAGAAGAGTTCGGGACAGTTGACTTCGACCACCTCACCGATCCTGGCAGGCTGCCAGCACGTCAGGTTGTCCCACATCCACGGACAGCCTGAGGACACGACAGGAAGACGAACACAGTGATTCTTTAGAAAAAGCCATATGGTCATTTCATATGTTCACCGGCAGCTCACTCATCATTGTTTCAAAATCACACATCCTTGAAATTCTCAGATGATAAATGAAAAGTCAGCCAGCAGTCATTATTTCTTTTTAATTCCAATCTCATTTTGGTAGCATTCAATGATTTTTATTTATTACTTCCTGCTAGTGCCGCCTGTGCATCGTTTCTTCTGTTGCTGCAGCTTTTTATTTCATATAAAACTTCATAAAAACAGCAGTTTGTGTCAGGAATGAAATGTGGGATGATTGGTTATTATAATGCACATTGTGTAGCTGAATCCCAGACGGTCTAAAATGATGGAAGTTAACTGGAAAGCAGGAATAAATTACTGCATATAAGCATAAATTGTGGCTGAGATATTGGGAACAATCATGTGGGTTTGCATTAATGGTGCATACAGCGATGCAGTAGCTAAAAGAGGATGGTCTGATTTCCAATTTTAGTTTGTGACTTAGTTAAGCAGCTCTGCTTTGTAGCCAACACTCCTCTAAGGCTTCCTAACTAACACAAATAACATCCTTTTGAAAAGGCAATCCCAGCTTGCTGTGCAGATATAGTCCAATAAACCTGCAGAACATTATTGTTTAAGATTTTTAAAAATGCCACACAAAAAAAAAACTGTTATGATGTGCAGATCTTCCCAGCAAAATATGGTACTGATGAGTTTTCCTTTTGTCTAGCAGAAATGCTACAGCAGGGTTTTTAATGAATTTAATGAGGTTTCATCCATTTCCTGACCCTTCATAATTGCAGGAAATTTTATACAACAGTTAATATAATAACAGAATAATCAAGCTGAATTCAAAGAACAATAATCCTGAGCCTCTCTCCATCCAACTGAAGTTTCAGCAACAGCATGAAGAGCAACACAGGACAGTTTGTCTGCACATCCTACTTAAGTAAATGTACTAATTACACACTGTAAAAAATACTAATAAAGTAAGTATTTACAAGTAAAAAGCTTGTGGAAAGACTGGAGTAGCTGAACTAAATTGACAATATCATAATAAATTATGATTTGGTTTATAAAATGTATCCACATTCTGAGTAAGCTGTACAATGGCTGTTTCTGGTTAAACAAAAGAGCTACCTCTGCAGGGATCCAGACACAATCTGAGCCTGTCAGTGGCAAAATCAACAACTTTTATTTAGCTGTACATGTAATCAAAATATTGTTGAAATCACAATATTGTCAAGTGCAATATCCAAATTGCAAGAAAGTGCAATTAGTATAAAGTATTGTAGTCTTGCCTTAATATCTTGTTGTGCATGTAAGAAAATGTGTTTCTTTCTTACATTATCATGATTTTAATGGTTTTTTCAGTGAAAATGAAAAACAATTTCCACTAATTGTGATCTGTCAAAATAATCATAAGACTTTTACTATATCGTGCAGCCCTACTTTTAGTGGACGTACTTTGACACATTTGCCACCATTGGAAGTATAAAGATTTATTTCAACCAAACCAGCATTGGTGATTGCTGTACAGACTGTGGAAAGATGTGGAAAGTCATTTTAATCCTTGTAGCTCCTGTTTTTTCCTAACCAAAATAGACTTCTAAACAAGGTTAAGAAGAAGAATTGGCACAGATTGGCCTCTCTCTCTCAGTCTCATCTTTGCTTCATCCATCATATAATCAGCTGCAGAGACGCCTGTCACTCACTGCCTCACTGATCAGCTTTAATTTTCAGGATGATCATCATGAGATGCTGCCAATTAAAGCCTCGATCTGCGCCTCCCTCACTCTGGAGACAGGCACAAAGTGAAACAAAAGAATTCATTTGCTTTGCTGAATCTCTCTGTTGGCCCTGCTTTAGTTTTCCATGCTAAAAATCAAGCACAGACACACACTGTGGAGTCTTTCTAATGATCTCTCTTTGCAGACGAGCAGGTCGGAGTCAAACTACAATTTGTAGAATTATCTCCTGCTCATTAGTATGGAGGCCTTCAAGATGTTCTTGTTATTAATCTCTATGTTTATTCTTTTTTTATTTTAATTAGCCAAAACTGTTGCAGCATCAACAGCATAGTGGCTGGCATGAGGGGAAGGGATTAAAGGCTAAACAAACACACACTCGCGAAATCCTACCAAATTCTGGATCGTTCCCAGGATCATCCGAGGCCATCATCTCCATGCATTTCTCCTCCTCCCTCTTGATCACACAGTTAGAGTGGACTTGTTGGCTCGAAACCTGGAAGACAGCACGGACACACACGCAGAGAAATACAGAGAGAGAGAAAGGGGGAGTCAAGTGGCTGAAGATTACATCAGAGCAAAGAGGAAGGGCCCAGAGGTAAAATGGAAGAGGCTGCTTCATTAGCTTCACCATGCGGTTCACACCACAGTGTGGGAGAGGTCTTAGCTCTGGGATCTGTTTAAACACTCAACCAATTAAACAAACCATTTCAGAGCTGCTGGCACTCTCCCCATGCTAACTGACCCAAAGGAGGAGCATTACTCTAATGAAAACAAGGCAGGAAAGGCTTTCAGACATGCACTTTTCACACTGGACCGGGCCAGGCGTTACTCCCATCTGTTGAGAACTGGCACACAGAGAAGACTGTTTTAAACGTATACAAACAAACGAGGCCAGAGATCACAGCGACAGCCTCAGAGTCCCCAGAGCTAGGACTCCAGACACGGGGGTCGCATCCAGAGACGCCTCCTCCATAACCCCTCTGACAGCTGCACAATGCTGAGCTGACGTTTGGAGCGAGCAGGTTGAGGCAGGGGCGCTGATGGAGGTGGGTGTCTGGTAGGATGACGAGATTGTGCATCTGTGTTTGGCGTCAGTTGTCTGTGTTTGGCGTCAGTCCGGGAGACGCCACGTCACGGCTTTATGAGGTGTAGCAGAGGAGCAGTTGAGCATTTATCCACTGACGTCAACAGCGCTCGCTCGGGATTCATGCACTGAAGATTTAGCAGAGTAATAGAGACACGGTGGGTTTGGGGGCATTGTGTGGAACAAGTGTCGACACACAAATCTGTATCTGGATGATTTATGTGCTGCACTCGCTAGCAACAGCACCATTTCTGCAGTGGTGCACTTGAATTGAATATACTGGCAGTAAAAGCACAGATGGTTGATATGATGACATCCTCTGGACCACTGTTCGCTGGATGTGGATGTTATTGCATCTCTAACCATTTGTTAGACACTGCAGACACTCGTTTAGTCACACTGTTGGGTTTGGAAGATAAAATACTCCATAATCGACACTGACTCATTCCCAACTCGTCTATAATACTGCGGCTTGGTTAGTGGCCCTCTGCTTCAACATATGACGCTGTAGAACCCTCTAGCGTCATTTGTGGACACGTCCACCATCAAAGTCAGCTGACTTAGTATAAAGGGAGAAAAGGTCTGCATATGGAGGTGGTGGGGTGGATGGATGGCTCAATCAAACACAGAACTTTAACCAAGGAGACCATAAGCAGTTTCTTAAAAGTAACGTATGTAAGTTAATTTACGTGATGTGCATAAGTTACATAGGTTACATTTTATTCATGTACTTAAACGTACAACATATAACTTCTGCCACTAGGGGGTCTCTCACATCCACGAGGGGCTGCGAGCCGAGCTGCTGCTAACGTTAGCTCAGCTTGTTTCTCTGATAACTTAAGATCCAGACGTCCGATGACTAAAATCCTTCATCCGGTTCAAATCTAGAGTTAAAAAGAACCAAGATCTAAACAGTGGATGGTAACAATGTGGCTTCAGACTGGATAAACAGTCAATGTATGACAGCTTCTAATAAAATGAGTTTGAACATTGTTGGAAACATTTGGGATAATGTAAGAACAAAACTCAACTTCATATAGAACATAGGTCTAGACATTTTAATGCAGAAATATTATAGCTTATAGATATAGCATATTATAGCTTTAAGTTACGCCAGGTACATTGCATAAGTTTTATTTGTGTACTTTAGTTGTGAATGAACAAGCTAAAAGAGCACCGTTCATTGAAAGCTCGTGTTTTGAATAGTGAACTGAATGTATGTTTGCAATTAACAAAAGAGGACTGAGCGTTGGTAAGCTCATGTGCTATTGAGCTTTTCTTCTTACTTCTCTGGATTAATCTGTGAGTGATGATGTGATAATTACAGAGCTGTGCAGTAACAGTGCATAAAAAAATCCATACACCCCAGACACTGCTGATAACAAAGCATTTCTGTGGTTGAAACTGTCAAAATTGCAGAAAACCTAACTATGAGTACACCTGAACAAAGATTTACCAACAGATTAGACAGAAGGTGGAAACTAAAGCATGACTGAGGTACATTAAAGGTCGGTAAAGTAGAACCACTCAATTAAACGGTCACACGGGTGTTAGTCCACCTGATTAGACCTCTGCTCGGGGTAAAGTCGCGTGGAGCTGCGCTGAAAAATGACATCAGGTCACTTAACTCCCAATACACTGCCGTGCCTCAACAGGTGCAGCAAATCTAACAGAGATGTCAATCACACACAGTCTGTACACGCCCACAGAGATGAGAAAAGGTCAGATCAGGAAAAATAAGTGGAAACACGTGTGGAAGTGTTTCAGGCTAAAGAAACACGTGGCTCATGGTTTAAGATTCAAACAAACTAGATCATATAATTGACGACTACTTCAAGTGTTGATATTAAAAACATCATCTTGCAGCATGAGATGTGATTTAAACGTGAACCCAATGTGCGCATCCACTCTCCTGACCCCACATCCTCGCTGTTCGACTTCATTCTTTGGCACTGAATGCTGCCAGTGAACATAAAGCAGATTAAACACACATGAACTAAATTCGGAGGCCACGGGTTGCTGAAAGGATGGAAGCCAAACACACTGTGTGAGTCTTGGAAAGTTTCAAGAACAGTTTCTGTGCTTCTGTGTTTATTTATCTGCTGTGTAACCTCCTGTGACTAATTATATCGTATCTGTCTGCCTTAAATCACTCCACTATATCTAATTAGGTCAAACTGTGTTCACCCAGCATGATCGGCCTCACAGCGCATGTACATGACTGAGGGTGTGCCTGTGTCATACAATATTTAAAGCTCATCCAGCTGCTTTACTGCATTATATCATGCTAAGTGTTCACTGATACTTAAATATAATACAATTTTGGATGCTAACATTATGCAATTTATTTGTTTTGGAGGCGAGGGTCGACTACAGCAGTGGTTCCCAATTTAGGGGTCAGGACCCCTATTAGGAGTCACCGAAGCTTCTCTGGGGGTCACGAAGACCTCTTGATTTCAATGGAGAAAACTAAAAGAAATTGTTATTTTTAAAGTATAGATTATTATTTAAGATACAAACAGGAAACACAAGCGATATCCACAGAGCCTTCACTCTTAGAAAAGTTCAAACAACCAAAGAGCTAAAAAATAATGAAAATCATGAATCATATCACATCTGTCAAAATAATCACAATATGATGTTTTTTTGCCACATTTGCCTTCATGTGTTTGAGTTTTAAACTGTATATTAAAAACCAATTAATAACTTATATTTTACGTAAATATATATAAAATAATTATTTTTTAATGCATGTTCAATGTTAAATCATTTGTACAAAATATTGGTTGCTTTTTGAAAAAACTTCAAGTTACAGCAGGAAGCATTTTCAATATGGTCATAGGTGCAGTAATAGTATGAATTGTAGTAGAAATAGTAGCCAGCGATGAATCCAACTAATCGTAATTTCCTCTCGACATATAATCAGTGCTTATGAATTTTAACAACTTTATTACTCTTTAGTTGTCAATTCATGTTCCCAATTTTTTCAAGGCTCCTCCTACTATAAAAGGATTGGCAAGATATTCCTGATTAAGTGTTTCTGCTCCTCCGCCAGCCATCTTGGTCTTCAGACATTTTTGTTGCACTTACAACAGCTGGCCAGTGGGTGGCAGTGTATGGGATGACGAGCTTCCACTGTGGTGGCTGCCGTGCAACTATACCATCAAAAACAATGCTTCTACTAGAAAACTGCTTTTGAATAGCTGTCCACTGTAGTGACCACTGCGCGTTTAGCTTTTATAAAAACAACTTTTTGTCATATTTGTTAAAATGTTCACTACACTGACGGCATTCGGTATGCAAGATAGTAAGTAATCAGGTTCTTCAGGCTTCTCCTAGCGCTCCTGATGGCATTTGCAAGAATCCACAGAGCCTGAAAGAAAACAACCAATTGGGTTGGGTCGGGAGCTAGAGTCTCATTCCCAGCGTGGGTATTTAACAAACTGGGAATAAGACTCAACAATTAAGTATCTTTTAATCTATTTCGTCAATTTCAGTTACATTTTGTCCAACTGTCCAGCTCTTCTGTCACTTCTTTGCTGTGTGTACAAACACTAACACTTACTCCCAATCTTCCCTCTCTGCCCCTCTTGTATACCTCTCATCGTCCATTGTCTTCTTTGTATCTCATCTCTCAGTTAGTCCGACAACACTTCAGTACAAGGGTGATGATTCCCATTTAACAACAGTAATAAGAGATCACTTTCATAGAGGAGAGAAGGGGAAAGGAGTCCTCCTCACAGATTTAACAGACAGGAATAATGTTGAATGAACAATGAATAAATTATGAGAATGCATCTTTATCCATCGCTCTGCCACACACCGATCAATGAATTATTGATGCAGACACTCCATATGGTTACTTTAACTACGTGAATGACTGTGTGAGTGCATGAAAATGAGGCCTCAACCCGTGTTTGCTAAATATATATTCATGTTCAGCTGTTCACCTGTTGCAAAATCTGTTTGCATGTAAATCGTTTAAGCTGCACGTACACAAGCATGCTCATTCAAACGCACAGATTTTCTCCTTTAAAGTACAAAAACAAAAAGAATAAAGAATTTAAATCAGCTTACCGAGGGTACGAGGAGGAGGATGGCGAGGATCAGCGGGCTGATAGTAGCAGCAGACATTTTGTGTTTCTCAGTCAGGAGTTTCCTCTGAATGCTGAGCTCTCACAGACGGACACAAGAGGACGTCAGCTCACCTTGGGATCTAGATAAACACAAAATTAAGAGACCATCAGCGAAATGACATTACAGAGTATCTTTTATATAAGCTCTCTTTAAGTGTATATATCTCTGCAGAGCAAATCCAAACTGGAAAGCACTCAGAAGTCTTAACGATAGAAAATGTTTAGAAAGTCTCCATTAAACTCCATTTGGATCCTCAAAGTAAATATCTGACAATCATGGAACATGTGCGCTAACTGCATGAGAACTAAGGTGAAAGTGTTAACAAAACATGCCCTTTCTCACAGTGTTCCTTTTAAAATTCCTGGATCAACATTGCTTGTTGCTGTTTTTTTAACTTTTATTTACTCAGGAGGGTTTCACTGAGAGGAAGTCTCTCTTTTAGAGGAACACCCTGATCATATTCACACAGCTACACACATTCATGGAAGCTGCCCAGTGCAACCACAGTCTGATCTGTTGGCAGCTGGAGCAGTCGGGGGTTAAAGGAACCAGTGTGTAGGATTTAGTGGCATCTAGCTATGAGGTTGCAGATTGCAACTAACTGAATACTGCTCGCATCTGTATTTGTCAACTTGGGAATGACAAGCTGTGAAGTCTGTAGGAGGAACTATGGTGGCTGCGAAACAATCAAAGGCGCTATCTAGAGCACTATTTTCTTAAAGGAACAGTGTGGTAGGATTCGGTGAGATCCAACTGTGTAGTTGCAAATTACAACCCCCTCGTCTCACCCTCCTGTTCCAAGCTTGAAGGAGAAACTACGGTTGCTGTAAAACTGAATCTAGAGCCAGTGTTTGTTTGTCAGTTCGGGGCTGCTGTAGATAAAAATGGCTCATTCTAAGGTAATGAAAACACAATTCCTATATTCAGGTGACTACACACTAATGAAAACATAGCCATGAATAATACATTACATTTCTGCCAATAGATCCTCCTAACTGTTATAGACTGGACCTTTAAGGTTGCTCAAGGGCACCTCAGTGGTGGTAATGAGGGACAGACAAGCACTGCTTTTTCCACTTTCGCCATCCAGATTTATTCTTTGACTTTACACTGAAATGCAGTTTGAAAACCCTCCATTATTGTCTTTTACTTCATTTTCATACATAACTACTGTAGGCTGCTATTACAAAGACACTGCCTGCCTATCAAATGATTGGCCTTTCAAACTGTATGTGAACACAAGCCTGTCACGTTGCGTGTCTGCAAACGAGCCCATGTTCATGTATCTGTGTGTCCTCATGGCTACAGCCCCGGAGGGTTCGCGCGAGTTAAGCCAAGTAGCAGGACTGAGCGCTCGGGCCTCGTCCCACAGGGGAGAGCTTGGCAGCTTGGCATTCCTACTCCACCAAAAAACCCTGCCAGCAACGAGCTCCTCCTCCTCCTTCTCCCGTTGTCAGGAGCAACAGCTGAGAGAGCTGCTGAGTTTGGATCAGAACTGAACCACGTGGACCTGGAACCTCCTTCTGCTCCTTCTTCTGCTCTACTGTAAATAGAAACCCTTACATTTCATAATGTGCCTCCGTTTGTCGATGGTAAAATTTGAATCCAGCCCAAGTGTCAGTATTTGAACTGTGGAAACACACACATTGAGTGAGTCCCCCATGCTGAATATTAATACCTTCATTCATATTTTGCTAGAATAAGTCCCAGAAGAACACACACACACACACACACACACACAAAAACAGAAAAATAACAAAACAAGACACAACATGAATGGGAGACAGCAGCTTTGCCAAGGCCACCATAATAGCTGCTGATGTTCTTCCATAGAAAAGCTTTCATGGTGAGTGCTCGAGCACAAACTGCCTTTAATTCATTTCTTTCCCACTTAATGTTACAAACCACCAAGACTCTGATGGTATCTCACACTGCCACTGTTGAAGTCGTCTCAGTGAGTGAACGTTCAGAGAAAGAAGGATAACAAAGAGGAAGCTGAACTATATGTGAAACACTTTCTCATGAAACTGGAACTCGAAGTTCCTTGGAGAGAGCGCATCCTCGGAGGTAGTTTCATGCTGCAGGCGAAACCTACAAACTATAAAATCATCAATTTTGAATCCAAATTGCCTTTCTCCGGGTTTCACAATTCTAAATGTAAACTGTCCAAAAAAGACCCAAAACGTTGATTATTCATTCTAAAAAAATTATTCGACCTATTTGATTATTGATTTTTCCACATTATGTCCATAAACCAATACATAATATAAAAGACGTGACCCCTCTGATGTGCTGCGGTCAGTGTATCCTTTCTGTTTGAGTGCTTATAGGTGCTCGCATTTTTACTGCTCCAGCTCAACCCAGTTAATTGTGTTATATTCTCCTTTACATCAGATAATTGCCAACTATTCATTTAAACTTACACTAGTTCAGCTCAAGCTCTCATAGCTTTGTCCCTAATCCCACAGTGGTTTACATGCTATTCAGTTCTGGTAGATACAGTGCTTTAGCTTAATGGTTAGTGATTGCTCTTTCCTGCTCTCTGTTGCTCTGTGTCAGAGGTTTAGCTATTTCTCTACCTCCTTTAGTGACATTGGAACATGTAATAAATGTCTAGAATGAATTTCTTCATTTCTGTAAAGAAAACTAAATGAATTTTTAAAGTTAAACTTTGAAGACCTGAACACGAGTTATATTCTCAGAGCCTTCACTAGTCACGACTAAACAGCTTCGTCCTGCATTAGAAACGTACGCAGTTAAAACAGCCAAAGAGTTAATAGAACAATGGCCATGCATCAGATGAAATTAAACACTGAATGTGTCTAAAAATAGGCCTATTAAGTAGTTAAAATGGTTAAAAATAGAATATAAAGTACATAGTACAGACACAGAAATTTATAAAACTCTCTCTCATGCAATATTAATAATCTGCTCAAAATTAATCAAAATCACTTGTTTTATACAAACTTGTGCAGTTGCTCTGTACTGTTATTGTTATGCATTAAAATATAAATAATATGACATATCCATAAAAAATAGTCACTTAGTCGGGGTCGTCAGTTCACTCAGTGATAGAAAAGGAGTCCCTGAAGGAAAAAGGTCAAAGGAGCCTAAAAATAAATTAGTGAAGACATTCAGATCCAAGCAAACTTTGAGTACTGGTGCACTACACCAAGAGAAAAAGAAGAATGTTTAACACGTTGCCCTGTTTGTCATACAGGCTCCAATAAGTGAATGGGAGATGGAGCGTATATTTGCAGAGATAGTGTGACCATACTACTCCAAAAAGGCAGCCTGGAACAGCCGACACCTCCCACACTCGAGCGCCTGTAGGCAAACTCATCAAATGCTGTTTATTGCTTTATACGCTCACAGTGAAACAGATTGATGCAGGAGATCGGAGTGTTAATTAAGGAATGAGATAAGCAGCCAATTTACAATATTTATATGAGATACAGACTTTCTCCTGGATTTTATTTCAACAAATTTGAGGCTTGATTACCAACCAGGCAACCGCCCTGGGGCCCCATGGGACCAAAAGTCTCAGGTTCACTGCGTATCAGGTGGTTTTGGTACTTTAGGGAGGGGATGGGACTTTTTTTGGTTGGACACTTTCAAAACCAGCCACCAGGAGGAGTGTCGGGCTTTGAGGCCACTGTGTAATTACAGCAATGGCATCCATCACGTGATGCACACTTGTTCAAAAAGACTTTTTCCCCGTAAGGTTCATTGTGAAAGAAGCGGCTGTAAAATGGTGGATCTGTTTTTTGTTTAACATCACAAACCTCGCGAAATGACTCGTTTCACTATCATAATTGTATCCATTCAGTCCCATAACATTTAGAAAGTTTAATTTAATTACTAATTTAATAATTAGTTTAATTTATTTAATTAATATCATCAACGTGTGATGACTAGTCAACTAGGAAAATCTTGAGTCAGGAACAGTCCTACACACAATAATTAAATCCTTAAAGTTAGCGAGGGCTAACAGGAAGTCTCTGGTGTGCCTGCTCTATGGGGCAGCTGTGGGCAGCAGTATGTATTCATCTGGGTAATTTCTGTGAAGTGGCTTTTTGTCTTCATGTGCTACTGAGCAGCTTTCATAGGAATAAATGGAGCTCAACCTCCAACGCTGTATCCAGTTCTCTTTATACATCCATGATTCAAAATCTAGCCGTCTCTTGTTTCTCCAGCGTAACCTACCGGAGCTTTAAGAAAAGTACATATTGAGTTTTTTATTGGGTACAGGTGTAACTGAGGACAGTCCCACCCACAGTGCTCCAAGCCTAGATAATATCAACATTACAGTTTTTAAACTAGAAGTGATCTATAATAATACACAAGGTTATACACAGAGTGTTTACAGTTAGCCACAAATTAAAAAAAACTTCAGGAAGTGTGTGTGAGTGTGTGTGTGTGTGTGTGTGTGTGTGTGTGTGTGTGTGTGTGCGTGTGTGTGTGAGCGCAGCAGCTGCTCAGGACTCTCCTCCCCGAGCTGTAATCAGTGGCTTAATGAGTCTCAGCGGCTTTCATGTTCAACACTGTCAGCCTGAGTGTGTGTAATGTTTGATGCTCCGTCTGAAGAGCACACACATAATTAAAGAAACACACACAAGTTGGTTCACTCTCCAAACCAAACATACACACATTTCACACGCCGGTCTTTTCTTTAGGTTGACGTTAGCGCTAATAAACACTTAAAGTCACACCCGTGAGGGGGAACATAAACAAAGGAGGAAAAGTAGAAAAATGCAGCTGAAGGATTAGTGGCTTCCTTAAGAATGTGTGTGGGTGTTTGTGCTAAGAGAAACGATTCCTCTCGGGAGAAGAGGAATTACTTCTCTCAGGAATAAGCGGGAACGGAGGAGCGAGGCTCTCTTAATGATCACTCACCTATAACGCCGCTGCTCTGATGGGAGGAAAGCTTTGAAAACTCTGAGATGAGACGCATCATTAGGGAGACGAAGACATAAAAAGAATGTGGAAGGAGAGAGAAGAGAAAGAGGGAGGATGGAGAGGAAGAGGGAGCCAGCTGGATGTGCATTTCATGTTTGTTTAGGTGGGACACTGGGAGCC